GTGTTCCTGGTTAAGAGTATATGTATGTACTTAATGGGGTCGGAAACGCCTGCCTCCTGACTGTAACATACTTTTCAACAAATCTAGTAAGCCCTTTCATTCTAAGATTAATTAGAACGTATTGGACAAGTTGGTTTTGGTCTTATGCTCTCAAAAACCTTTTATGAAAAAACAAAGCTTATACAAAAAAGTGTAAAATAACAATTACTAAAAAGTTTTAGCGTTACAGGTAATATTGCCTTGTAGTGGTTTTGTAGTACCAGAAGGAACATATAAATATGTGATTTAAAATGTGGTTTCAAAACGAGTTGATGACATTATCCGGCCACCTACAAGTTGGAGGAGAAGTCACCGATGTAGCCCCTAAAGTCCCCTGACCCTGGCACCAGCTACCCTCGATGCCTGTTCCCTCCAGACACTTTATAGCCAAACCGGGGGTCAGGAGTCACGACAAATTTTGCGCCGTGTAGCAATGAGGAAATCAACTGCAACTGCGGGTGCAGCTGCCTACCTGGCTGCCAACTTGGAGCAGGAGTGGGCAGCATCTCCGACTCCGAGTCCAACTTTTGCGACGAGTCTACGCAAATTGGAATGCGAGACCTCTGACTGTGTGAATAAAACGGCGGCTGGCCTGGCTTAGCTTCGCTTTTGGCCAAAAGTTGCGTAACAGCCACTGAGCCGGTTTCGGCCACACTCGGCCAAACTGCACATGTGTATCTGTAGCAAAGGACGACCGGGGGACTGGCCATAATCAATGTTCCGTCTGCAAGTCAGCATCTTCTGGCTTAATGGCCATTGCAACAGAGCAGCAGCCACAAAGGCGCACTGGCTGTGGCCATTAATAACCGTTAATACCCGTTGGCGGTGTCCAACAAGTTGTTAACTTGCGGCTGGCTGACCTTGGCGTAAGCAAGTGAACGACTGCCGCTCATCCTCCAGCGGCATCATCCAAACGAATCTCGAATCTCGAATCTCGGCCAGCACTTGGCGCCGCTCTGAGGCTCGCGGCCACCTGCTGCTTAATCCAATGTGGCCACTGGGGCTAAGTGTGCACGCACTTTCAACTCCGATTACCAGCCCAATCAATTTGGCATCCCGTTTAAGCCGACTAAACGCACCCACCGACTCGAATGCGTGATGCAACTGCAATGAATTCAATTTATCGGCCTGCAATTAGCGCCGCTTCATTGGCCATGCAAGTGGGTCAGCTGGGCCGTGGCAACAATGACATTAACGTCAACACTTGCGCTCCACCTGCAGCCCTAGTTGCGGGTCCAGTGCGGTCCAGCTCCACGCAACAAACTGGAGCAGCCCAAGTGCCAAGTGCCAAGTGCCAAGTGCCAAGCGCCAAGTGTCGAGCGGCGGAGTGAAGAAAGCCACAGGCAATTACCGCTGGAATGATGACGGTGACGCTGCAGACCGCCGTGAAGACCTCATCCTCAGCCTCCCGTCGTCCGCCACGTTGGGATTAGGCCTGATCCGCGAGAGCCTGATTGAAGGTTAGCCATGTGTGAACGTGAGTGTGTTGTTATGGCTTATTGTTCGGCGGATAAGTGACTGCCATTTCTAGCTGTCGCATTGCAACAGCGCGCCGCTCAATGAGGCGTATGCGCAATAAAATTAAGTATACGCTGCCCGGGGGTGGGAAGTGCATTCGGCTAACAAGAAATGTAATAAAAGCGAAACAAAGAATTTGTGAATCGTCATGAGGCTGTGATTATGCGGATAACTGCAATTCAAAATTGGTCTGTGGGGCACGAGTTTATAACGTCACGAGTTTTGCCTGACTTGCAACATATTCGTATCCAAGATGTATATATTGAAGTTGGATTTTGAACAAGTCGCTTGCGAAATAAATAGTATTAGTGTCACAAAAATCTTAGCAGCATTTAAAACCTCTAAGATAACCTAAAACAGTAGGTGCTGCGCAAATTATTTCCAAATGTAAAAATAATTTTTATAGTGTCTTTGGTTAAACACAGTCGTAAATTCATATTATTTCTTACATTTTGCAATAAATAACTGTATACCTTTATGTTTCAAGTTTCGAAAAAAGCACATCGATAGTCGTAATAATAAATCTTTGACCTGCATCTACACTGAGATGACACAACCGATGCGTTTGCTTTCCTGTTTATAATTGAATGTACAGATTTATCGGCCATGTAACCCTCGTCTTCTCGCCAGCAATCGTAAAACCTGGCCATTATGGGATTAGTCGAGGGAACTGTCAAAACATTTGAAGCTAGTCCCATCAGGCCTTTCTCTCAATTTAATTTTCCTTCCTTGCAGCTTGGTCTAACACGTTTTCCAGCCAATTTCACACGCTTCCCTTCCGCGCAGCGGAAACCTGTCCGCCGATAGTCATAATATAAGGCAATGCATAACCTACATACACGTATAAGCGTCCAGATCAATAAAGAGATGCCGTAAATTATGCAACTGGGTGAGCAGGGACAAGACAACCGCAGCGAAAGGTGTTTCCATGCCCTGCAGCCCGCCATCCATCGATCCATCGATCCACCGATCCATCGCTCCATCCTGGCATTTGGCTCGACTCGACTCCACATCCAACTGCAACTCCATCCACGACATCTTCGTCGGGAAGCCATACCAAAACCCAAACCCAGACCCAGGCTGAAACCCGAATTGCCAGTTGAATGTCGTCGCAGATCTGCTGGGCACGTTTCAGGAATTTCAATTTCATTTTGCACAACAAAAAGCGAGCTAAAATACAAAGATACGAAAATGAAACCAAATGCGATCCGGCGCAGCGAACGAGCCTGTTGCACATTCTTCATTATATTCGTGTTTCTTTACCTAATTTCGAGTTTTGGTTTTTTGCTAAATTGGCTTAACATGTCGAGGCCCCACTTCATTTTGTCTGTTTCTCCTTTTGCAGCGCTGCACTGAAGGCCGTCTGACCGCCCCTCCGCGGACCGCCCCTTGCTCCTCCCCCGATTGTTATGCAACTTCTGGGGCGACAAGCCTGTCGGTTTCAATTTTGGCACCGTGTATTATTTACGATCATATCGGATCGTCCCAAAGACCCAGCTTCAGCCCGATGCAGTCCCAAGATCAGACACTCAAACTCCAGCTTGGCCGTTCCTCGGGCGTTAATTATGGCCAACTGTTTGGTCTTGGCGCGTTTATCACGGACTGATGCCCATTCTATCCGGGGGTTCATAAAACGCAGGCCGCACCACCTCGTTGGAGTGTCCATTTGCCCCGTTGATAGCGCGGAAAATAAACTTTGAAGTAGCCTTAAATGGTCAGCTATCGTAACTAAATAAATTTAAGTGCAGCGTAATGCTAAATGCTTAATTCATGTGGTTAAATCATGAATTAATAACATATTGAAGGGGGTTTTCGACTTCCATGAACATCCAAATATATTACTGTATACTGGAATCATTTTTTTAAATAAATAAAAATTTACAGCGACGGTTGTTGGGCTCGCTGAAAAAAGTGGTGACTTAAATAAGTGCTGTGTAATTTCTCTCAGTGCACAGACGCACTTCGACCGCGAGCAGTGGTGCTGCCGAACTTCTCCATGCGGAGGTCGCCTTGCCATTTGAGCGCTTAGGTCGCCGCGTCCATAAATGGCATTTGTTGTGTTTGATTTGGGCAGTCGGATTCCTCCCGTGGTCGTTTGGCAACAAGTGGCCGGCTGAACTCGTTCGTGCTAATTGTTTGTCACTCAAGTTCGGAGCAGGGAGTCGGACATGGTTAATCGAGCCATAAAAAACGCGGGCACGTAGCCCAAATTGCTGCAGCTTAAGACTACTTAGCGTCTTGGCCCAGTGTAACAACACGCCCACAGCAATTGACCTTATCAATAGTTTTTTTGGGCGGAGGTGAACCACTTGGCACGGGGATTGATTGATTGATTTTCGGGGGTAGGACGCCTTACCCTATTCGCTCATTTGAGGATAATGATGGAAGATGATTAATTGTGCATTCAAAGTTCGGTTGCTGGTATAGTGAACCAAATTACTACGCCCCATAATCAGGGCAGTAATTTTGCATTTTTATAACATCTTGCAAAAAACATTCAATGATAATTAATTTTGCTTACCCACGCAGACCATAAAAGTACGGACTTAAATAATTTGTTTTCAAATGGACATTTACAAGACCTTGATTGTATCATCAGATTAATGGCGATAGAAATTATGTTTTATTTTGGTCTGCCTGTTAAGAAATTCAACTACGAGGAACTATTTATAGATCTCCAAAACCGTAGCTTACGGATATTTTCTTATCACCCGTCAGACACAAAATGAATAATAAAGTCAACAAAATCAGCGTAGACAGCATAACGAGAAGGCCCACAGAGGAATGATGAGCTAAGAGCAGATCTCCTAATTTCCAGCAACTTAGGATTGGGTTTCCATTTCCATGCACTTGGCCACTCAGCGCTGCCAACTTCATCACTACGAGCACCTCGCATTCTACGGCGGGGTCTTCTTTTGACCAACTCCAGCCACTCCGCTGCAGCTCCGCGAAGACGGATCTCAAGTGACCCATGGGTCCGAGCTCAGCACTCGAGCATAATGGCAGTACGAAATAGCCGGCCCACAGTACGTATGCGTATTGGTGGTCTTGTTCGCATTGTTTTGAAGCTGCGCCGTTACCTTGGGAAAATCCGCGCAGTCATCGGTGGTCCAAGAGGCAGCTTCATCAGCTGGCGGGCGAGCTCCACTCCATTCCACTCTCACTCTCTGCGGTTTTCGATTTTAGTTTGCTTTTGCTTTTGCTTCTGCTGTGCTTTGCTCTTGCTTTTGCCTTGCTTTTGCTTTCGATGGAACGTCGGCAGCGCAGCGGCGCCTCGGCTGCGTGCATTTTGCACCTGGAGCAACCCACCTGGGCAGAGCGGCATGGATTTGGCTCTTCTTTTGTGTTTGCCACCGCCGCTGCTCTGCCCACGGCGACCGCGACCGCGACCGCGACGCCGGAGTCGGTGGCTCGGAGACGAGACCGTTCAAAATATAAATAGATGTGCATGTAGGGAAATGCGAATAGTGTTCATAGAAGACCTCAGAGGAGGCACATATCAGCTCCTTCTGTTTTGACGCGCTGTTGGTGGTGCAAGGGATACCAAGCATGAGATCCCTAAGTCTGTTGGTCAGTGTCCGAGAAATACGAAAGATACGAGTGCATCCTTGGGAAACAATCATAAAAACATTTGTGGAACTCAAAAATATACAAATGAAGTGAAAATAAATGTGCAAAACCCAAGCTCAATGTTAAAAATCATACAAATTTAACACAAAATCCAAAGTCGCGTTAAAATCACTCGTTACTCGTAAGGTTGAAGTTTATGTCTTGGAACAATATAAAAAAATATGCAACCGAAAAAACTAACTTAGAAGAGTGTTTTCAGTTTTTAAAATCATACTTCGGAATGTATATTCAAAACTAATTTAGGCTTCTTATCAAAAACACAAATCTTTTGATCTGCATCTTTGATACTGACATAAAATCTGTTCAGAACTAGCAGTTATCACTTTAAATCCAATATATAAGCAAATACATCATGGATCCAACCAACACCACTGCCAATTAATGAATTAACAACATTTCGTTCCATTCTAATTTCTCCCACAGCTACTAAGCGCCAGTTGCGCGCTAATCCTAAGTTTAGCCTACGCCCATCCCCCCGAGGGAGTGTGGAAGAAGAAGCTCACATGGAAGGAGGATTGGGTCCAGGTGTGGAAGACCGTTAAGAAGGAGGCGTGGGAAACCAAGTGGAAGAAGGTTTCGGTCCCAATTTGGAAGGAAGTCAAGGTATGGCAGCGGGGCACTCCCTTTTAACTGAAGTGCTTATGAAGCATACATGAACATCCCCCAGGTTCCCGTCTGGAAGGAGGAAAAGGTTCCCGACTGGAAGATCGTGAAGAAGCCGAAGATCGAGGAGAGAGAGGTGCCCGCCTGGAAGGAGGTCAAGGTGGCCGAATGGAAGAAGATAACGAAGCCCATTTGGGTGCCCACAAAGGTCGCCGTCTGGAAGGAAATCCAGGTGCCCATCTGGAAGGAGGTGCAGGTCCCATTCTGGAAGGAAATACAAGTGCCCATTTGGAAGGAAGTACAGGTCGCAGACTGGAAGCAAATGTTTGAGCCCCAATGGGTAAGTGGTTTCCCGATCTCCGTTGGAACATGAACTAAGTTGAAACTTCGCACAGGTGAAAATGGGCATTCCCGGCGAGAAGTTCTTGGGCAAGGACCACGAGGGCTGGGAGTACACCAGCCACGATCTCTGGCGCAAGAAGCTGATCTGGAAGCCCGTGTGGAAGAAGGTCTGGCGCACCGAGAAAAAGCAGGAGTGGAAGACGGAGAAAAAGCAGGAGTGGCGCACCGAGAAGAAGCAGGAGTGGAAGACGGAGAAGGTGCAGGAGTGGAAGCAGGACAAGAAGCTGGAGTGGAAGGACGAGTGGATCCAGGTGTGGAAGCCCGTGAAGAAGCAGATCTGGATCAAGGAGAAGCGCGAGACCTGGATCGAGGAGAAGGTTCAGATCTGGCGCACCGAGAAGCGCCAGGTGTGGGCCACCGAGAAGCGGCAGGCGTGGAAGGACGAGTGGCAGTCGGTCAACGTGCCCGTCTGGAAGGAGGTCAAGGTGCAGGAGTGGAAGAAGGTGTGGAAGCCCGTCTGGGAGAAGGTGTGGGTGCCAGTGAGCCATGGCCACGGATGGGACTAGGTCCGCGGCAGGGGTCTCCGCTTGGCTGCCAGCCAGGCGACAGCACTGATATCTGATAACTGATCCCGCTGATCCTGCTGATCCTGCTAATCCCCTGGGGTCTGCCCCATCCTCCGCAGATCAGGATCCTCGTTGTGTGCAACCCAACACGCTCAAATTGTTACATAGACTTCATGTTGTAAGGCATCCCACTTCCTCCTGCATTCTGTACAAAACACCTTCATACCTTTCGTTACCTGTTGGAATTACCCATTACCCATAATTGCCTCCATCATCGCCGTCTCCCACAAGTGTACAAATTAGTCATGCGCGCGTTTGTCTTTAAGTTATACGAAATTCAATAAAAACAACAAAAACTATAACGATTGTAAGGATTTTTATATGGGCGAAATGTTGCAAAGACGGGCCGCGAATAAATTGTTTTGTAAATATGTACTTAAACTTAATTATAACACCCCTACGGACCACAGACACGAAAATTGATGTACAAAACCTATTTCGAAGAGCTGAAACAAAACAAAACTACTGTAACTATAACTATAAACATAAACATAAAAACTAAGTGCATTTAATTACGGTTTGAATGGCCATACCAAAGTGGCGCATCTGCGGATGAAGCGTTGCTCCCGCTGTGGATGTGGATGAAGCAATATAGGTAGTTTTGGCGATGATTCAATGGCAGCAAGTCGGCGAAGATGCAACTCATAAAAATTCGATTTCGACCTACGACACCCGGAAGTTAGATAAGTGCCGAAAAACCGAATAAGCCGAAGAAGTCGGCACCATCGTTCAGCTGGAATTGGCAAAAAGGCCATGAGCCAAAGTCAACAACTGCAGTGGCGCTGATGATGGTGATGATGACGATGGCGACGGCGATGCCTTTTGCCTAGATGCCAAATAAATCTCAAGGAAACATCTCCGCGTCAGATAAGCGGCAACAATAACGCTGCCACTTCCTGTTGCCAAGCTGAATGCAGCTGCCCGGGCTTAAGATTCGGCTGCAGTTTCGTTTTCAGCTTCAGTTTAAGATGCAGTCGCTGTTGCAGCTTCAGCCCGAAGGGAGTGCGCGGCGATATCCCACCTAACGGCTCCGCAATTGCAATTCCAAGTCACTCGGTCGGTTACCACATGTTGCCTTAATTGACTCCCCCCGCTTTCGCGCAGTGTGTCTGTGTGCCATAGAGCGATGCCCGCATAAGGTTAGCAGAGGAAGCCAACTGTTGCAGTTGCACCGGTTGCCGCTGCACTCCGAGCCTGCGGAGCTGCGCATATTAGGTAACTGCCGCAAAAAGTTCGAGTTCAAGCAAACATTCCGTTGCCAAATCTCAGTAGTTGCTGCCTGCCTAATGATGTTGTTGCAGATTTCGGCAAATCAACAATTGGCACGGCTGGCAAATGAGTTTTTTGGGGGGTGGGGATGCGGCTGACAGGCGAAAGATGAGCGTGATAGTGCCACAGATGTGGCACATTGTTAATGAGCACAATAGGCTGTCTTCGTTCCGGGCATTTCCTTGACTTTGGGAATGCAGTTCAGCATTAAAGGTTCTTTTTTTAACAAAGCCTAGGTCGCAGCCTGATTGACATTACATTTTTAGACAATTATGCCATTGTTGCATTTGTGCCTGCGCCACAACTTTGTGTGCCACAGGCCAAGGAATGCTTATCAAATAAATAAGTGAACATTCAACTCCAATTGGCCTGTGGTGATAATCAAACGAAGTCTGAATTGCATTCCACCTGACTTTTATGTAACCAAACAAGTGTCATGCCAAACCTGGAGTTGCGGGACACAGAAATGATAACCGAGCCACAACAACCGACACTTAACGCATTCGAGTGAGGCACATTATAGTTGTTGTTTTAATTATTGAAGCAACAGAAGCAGCAACATCTCATTCGCATTGCACAAGCCGCAGCCACGGAGAAACAAAACGAGCCAGCCATACAGACCGAATGAAAGAAATTGAAAAATGTAATAAAAATAAATTTCAGTCAACAAAACAAAAATTAAAAATCAAAACAAAACAAAAGCGACAGAAATATTTGATTGTAATAAATCTTTTGTTCGCGCCCCGCAACGCTGCAACACCCAGCTGAAAAAAGGCAAAAAGCGGCAGCGAAACATTTCTTGTACAAATAACTAGATGTAGTGGCTCAGGTTCAAGACGCCAGCCGCCGCCGCAGCCGCAGCCGCAGCCGCGGAGCACGTGATGAATGCGGAGCGGATCGGTGCCCGCGGAGCGTGGAGCTGCAACTGAGGAGGGGTTATTGCTCGCCAGGTGCTGTTGACTCTTTTCCAGCGGGCCTGTGGCTGCAGATGTGGGTCACAACGAAGGCGACGAGGAAGTGGAGCGGAACCGCAGCCTCCGCCGAGTGGGTGACATTAGGCAAGTGCAGGGTGTGTGTGGCAAGGTCGCCGGCCAAAGGGGCTGATTAAAAGCGGGGCAGCCGCGAATTAGTGGCAGTCTGCAAGAGAAAAACGAGCGGTGAGGCAATTTGGCCACAAAAACCATGACGCTGCTGAAACGGCAAACGAGATGTTGCAAACTAGCGGACGTGCGCTCCGAGTACTAACGCAGTACTTGCAGCCAGGGGTCGTAAAAATGATTAAAGGCGGCGCTGAGATTGCGTTGTCAACGCGCTTGTCCCGTATCTCTAATCTATATAAATGCCATTTTATCGCTGACCAGACTCCACGCTGCCCGCCAAACAAAAGACTTAGGCAGCGAACTCGTTTGGCCAAGTCACGAAAGCGCAACTGTTTCTTGTCGAATTCATTCGATTTCGCAGAGCTCTGCGACAAGTTTTCCCTGCGTAGTTACATTGCTGAGATGTTTTGGTATCCTACAATATATTTCCCTTACCGGCGGTTTTTCTGTACTTACGTTTAATTATCCTACTTACCACTGTTTAAACGAAGTTCCTGCTTCCTAAAGATAACGCACGCCAGCGTATAAATAATAGAAATTTCATATTTTTTTACGAAGTCTAAGTTTCTCGACTATCAAATACTATTGAAGTAGTTAGAGGTAGTGCGAGGGAAAATTTGAAAGCTTCTGAGGCATATCTAAAGAAAATTTCCAAGAGAAATAATAAAATTTAAACAGTTTTGATAGTTGTAGCCAAATAGGCTCTTTGTGGTTTGTGGACAAACTGTTTTTGGCCAGTCGTTTAGCAATATAAATAATAAAGTATTGGGGTTTCTCTTGACTTGCATATCATGCAATTTACATTCATGAAAACTAACCAACACCTCATTAAGCGATTATTGATTTTCAGCTATATTATGTCCACGACTCGTTGTCTCTTGCCCAATGATCCATTTTAACATGCGTTATCCTCTTCTACTTTTTCCCCTACTTTACATGACGTGCACCAAGTCCATGCAAATTGTGCCACCATGCCCCCTTTCGGCCCACTTGCTGCACCTGCTGCCACGCCCCCTTAAGCAAATGTTGGCCACGCTCAACGCTCAACGTTTCATGCAGCGTTTGTTCGCTTTTGGATTGCATTCCTCTTGTGGCTTCCTCCAGCCGTTGAGATGCAAACGACTTGCCTGTCAAACATTGTTAATATTTTTCGCTCTGTTTTTATATTATTGCCTCTCTCAGCTGGGCTTACCCCTCCCCTGCCGTAGATTTATGGCCGTGCTCCAAGACAATTGCAGTTTACGACTTCCCGCGGAGTTCTGCGACTGATACGCTAAATGATCAATATTTGATGGGGGTATTTGTCATGTTTCCATCGCCAGTAGCTCGTAGGCCATTTAGCGCTTAAACGCTCAATTTCCCGACCCCGCTGCCCATCCATGTTGAAATTTCTGTTATGCAGCGAAGACAATGCACAATTGTTGGAAGTGCCGGGCGCCAATCGCAATTGTTTGCGAATAATTTTCATTTTCATTTTTATTTTCACTTTTTGCTTTTGCCCAACTAGCGACCACATCCACATGGATTTATTGGGAAGGCGTTTACTCGGGGGCATGGTTGCGTGGATTTATATTTAATGAGCCGCAGTTAGTTGAAAATCATCAGATTTCGCAACAATTAATTGTATTACACAAGGCCTCTGCCGGGAGAGTGTGCGCTGTTTTGATTGAATTGGGCATTCACTGGACGCCTAGTATGCAAATAATGATGATGAGCAAATCTTGGGCAACCTTAGCGGAGCTGGATCTGCAGGTGTCACTGTAACCAGTGAGTAACCAGTGGTATTGAAATGGCCAACCTGCAGTGTTTGCATCAGCACTTGTTCTTTGCAGAGAGCTTAGCCTGCAGACGCTAACTGGATGTGCAAAGCCGATGGCCAAACATTTAAGTGCAAACAAAGCTGGAATGGCGGGTTTTTGTTGTCCCAATTTCAAAATTTGCATCGGGGAAGTGAGTATGAGCATATTTGGAGTTGAATTTTACCAGAAACACACTTCTTACAAAAACTGAGCCGACATCTATCACTTTAATGTTATACGTACTAATACTCAAGAACAATGAGAATACATTTTTTAAAGGTCAATTACGCAACGAAATGAAAAAAATCTACCTACATAAATACTTATGTATTGATTAATGAAATTTCTTACTTAAATAGACTCTTAAAATACAATTCTAGGTAGGAATTAAAGAAATATTGGTATTAGCTTTTTCATCCTATATTTTATTGATTTGAATTGATTTGAATTATGTGTATCAGCTTACTTACCACCTTGACTGACCAAATAATGCCTAAAAGTATGCACTTAACAGATTGATATTCCGAAACCAGAAAGAAAATTTGAGCAAGCTTTTTAGCATATCGGCCAATAATTGATGCCCGTATAACCACGATATGCCGCAGCCAGATGTAAGCCTATACAGGAAATTTATGTTGGACACATTTCACCTACAGGTCACGATGCGAGCACGACGCAGCCGATGGTATCCAAGACTTTGCAGATCGGTTTTCGGAATGGGCAAAGCGTTGGAACATCGGCATCAACAGCAGTAAATCCACCAACGTCTGCTTTACTCTAAAGCGGAGAACGCCACCGACCGTCCATATCGAGGGAGCGCCCGTACCACAGCCGAACGCAGCAAAGTACCTTGGAGTGCTCCTGGATCGCAGACTCACATTTGCCACGTGCTAAGGTGGCACTACTGGCTACTCTGTTTGCGCAGTAAATTGTCACTCTGCAACCCAAACTGGAAGTACGGGTGCCAAATCTGGGACAGCCAAATCAAAAGGATCCGGGCTATCCAACACAAGGTCGCGAGACTCATCACCGGTTGCGAGTGGCTTGTGCGAAACACCACCCTGCACAGAGACCTCAAACTTGCGACGGTATTTGACGGGATAAACCAGCACTCGAGTCGATACCATCGATACC